ATGATAGACTTTTACACTTGAGAGTTTATGCTTAAAATCGTGTGCGTAGGCGAGCTGCCAAATTTGAGACCGAGCAACATTTCAGCTGCCTTAAATTGAAGCAGAGCAGCAACAAAAACAATCACAACATTTGGGATTTATTATTTCACTTGGCGAGTCAACAACAGGAAGGCATGTCAATTTGCGCATATATATGCAAACAAATATATGTGCTGCATGCTAGCAAACACATTGGCTTGCCCGGCAAAAACTTGCCAATAAATCAGATTACATATCAAAAATTAATACGACAATATCAGGTAACGACATCAAGCAAATAATGACTTTTCTGCCGGCCACACACACACGCACACACACACACACACTCACAACTATTCGCAATGTTCAGCTTAATGAATTTTGCATTGTTTTACAATTGCATATAGCAGAAAATGCATTGACAGCTCATTTTCGCTTCCTTCTTTCTGTTATACATTGGCTTCAAAAAGTTGCAGAGTTAATTAAACAAATAAAAACAATAAAGTTTCACATAGCGAATGCTTTTGGACATTTTCAAAAATAATTCCGTAACTTAAATGTGATTGTTCAAAAATCTATAAAATTTCCGATAAAAAAAACCCAAAGCATTTACATAGTCGAAGGCGTCAGCAAGGGCTATAAACTATCTTTTATCAAAAATAAATCTAATAATAAATCATTTTAATTTAATAAAATTTCTGTGTATAATATTAAATTCAATACACAAATATGAACATTGCTCCTGTATATAAATAAATTTTATAAGCTCTGCTATAGATATAAATTAATAAATTCACAGAATTTAATAACAAACAACAATATTTTCATTGACAACATATTTTGCATACCAAACTGGGAAATGTCAAATATTATAAAAATACAGTTTAATATTTTTTGTTAATATTTGGCTAATATATCGGTCATGGCTAAGACTAAACGCCTAATTCAGCCACTTGATGTCATAGACACGACCCAAATACAAAAACAAGCGCAGTTGCAGCCATTTCAAATTTTCACGCTTCAAGTTCACAGTTGGAAAAAAAAATGCATACCGCATTCAAAATGCATAGCTGTTAATGGAAAACATATTCATGTATGTGCGTGAGTGTAGAAATGGCGTAAAACAGAGCCAAAAGCGGGCACAAAGCAACAGCGACAAGCACTGCAAAAAGGCTTATTAAAAACGCATAAAAGAAAACGGAACGTTTACAAAGCAGACACACACGCACACACACACACACAGACACACGCGCGCAAACACACGTGCTAGCCGCACACGCTTATATGCACAAACGGCAGCACACAACCCAACACACACACACACAAGCACATACACTTAACCATGAGCATATATGTATATGCATGACCCTTAATGGCACCGCCCTTTCCCTGAATCCAAAACCATCTTGTATGGGGCACTCGGGCGCATAAATCCGCGCTAAATGAGTTTAACACTTGGCTTAATAGTTTGGTTTTATGAAAAGCAAAAACAACAACGGCAAAAATAAAAGAAAAACCAACAACAAAAATATGGAAAACGTGCGGAGAGGAAAAGAAAACGAGAATGTTGAGCAAAACGTCATGGGAAAAAATGTTCCACAGCATACTTTTATGCGCAATAGAAAACTTGCAAATCGCTTTTTGTTTTCATTGCAGGCAACAGGACGAATGGTTGGCCATACAGAGTGGAAGGGGGCGGAGGGCGGGGAGGGGCGCGTAGGGTTTGAGTGGGGGGGGGAGGCTAGTTGAAGCCTTTGAGCATTTAGCTCGGCTTAGTTTGTGAGCAGTTTTGTTTTTATTTCTATTAGCAAACCAGTTGGCCGACTGGCTAAATGAAAAGTGCAGCATGCAGCCTGCCGCATGCCGCACGCCGCATGCCGTATGCCGCATGCGAGTGCGAGTGGTGGGAAAAATGCGGCAAAATGGGCAAAAAAAAACGAGAAAAATAGTTTTCAATGAACGAATGAACGGGCGGCTGGCGAATTTGCTGCGGCCAAGGCAAATCGCTGTTAGTTAAATGTTGCAACAACAGCCAACGGAGAACTCATTTTAAATATTAAATTTACACACACACACACACGCGCGTGCAGGCACATGTGTGCATGTGTGCATGCATGCAGCATGTGGCATGCAGCAGTTAATAATTTACATGCATTTTACTTTCAACATAATTACAGGTGGTGTCTACGGAAAGTATCCCTACGGCCACCTTTGCCAGGCACTTTGAAAAACTATTTGCCCATAGACACACACACAAATACTCACACACACACACACACACACACAGTAAGGTATACATACATAATTTAGTAGAGCACTTGGACAGCATTAATGTGTGTAGCTCTGGCGCTGAATGCTGCGGCTGCTCGACCTAAACCGGATGCACCTCACGAGCACACAGACACTACACACACACACGCACACACACTCACACACACACATGCACACATAGACTCTTGCAGTCAGTAGCTCGCGGCACCTGCTGTGCATATTTCTAAACTAATACATATATAATTTTTCGCTGCTTTCACAGTTTTTTCTTGCACCGTATTTTATTGCCTCGCTGTCTGCGTGTGTGTGTGTGTGGGTGTGTGTGTGTGCATCTTTGGTTGGCCGCTCAGCGTGTTTGTTTTTAATATTGTTTGCCTTAGCTACTTTATAGTTAAGTGCAACTGGAATATGTATTCTTAAACAGCACAACTTAAAACCCGTTGACAGCGCACAAACAATTTCCATTGTTTTGCTTAAGGCTTACTGCATTTCCTTTTTTGCTTCTACTTTATTTCATTTTTATAGTTCGCGCAAATATTATTCATACAAAAGAGCTTAAAAGCGAGCGCGCAGCTTCTTGCCGCGTTCCCACACTTATCATAAATATAAATATTATATAAAAAAAAATATGAAAAAAATATTAAAAGAAGATTTAAAAAAACAAAGTTCCGTACGACGAACGGAATGAACTCACTAGAAAATAAAATATAAATTGATATAAAAAATAAAATTTCAATTAAAAATTATTTCTTTCTACAAAAGTTGATGGTTGTATAAAATAAGAACAATAAAAACTTTAGACTTAACTTTTGCCGTCGCTCGTCATGAAAGAATGCAAAGCAAACAATCTCAGCTTCATATAAAATATATAAAAGCCAAGACAGTTCAAAAATGTTGGTGTCAATTTAGTTTCTCAAGACTCAAACTCTTTAAGTAAGCATTATAAATGATATTTAATTTATATATCTTGGAATTCATTATTATATCAATTCTTTTTTATGGATTTATTTGACGCAAGCGAATAAATGAAATGAATCTTAGTCGACAATTTTTTGCTGTGCATGCATTATTATTGACTTTTTTCGCTCTGTGCGAATTGTCGCTGTTGCTGGCAATGTGCGTGTGTGTTTTAAATCTTAACAGCTAACAATTAAGTCGCATCATAGCGAACGTTTTGCGTAAATTTAAAAACTTTTTAATGCCATACACTTGCGGGCTTGTTGAACTTCGCCTCAGTGGGAGATAAGCGGCTTGCAAAACTTTTCCCCATATACAAACTATGAGTACAACTGCAATAACTACCATAAATGAGTGGAGAGACGAGCAAGACAAGCAAGCAAAGGCAGCCCCAACTACAGATGCAATTAATTTCTGTTCAACATTTTCCACCCGCAGCGGAGCCAGAGCTATAAAACGTGCCTAGGCATTATCCTGATGGCACATCTAATGCCACTTAAATAATCACCAACTAACCAAACTAACACGGAACATAGACAAGTTAGTTTCGCTTGAGGCGAGCACAATTTAAATGTAGCAAACATTATAGTTGCCCCTTTTTGGGATTGTTATCATTTGTCATAAAATTCAAATATGTTAATTAGTTAAATCTCTACTCCTACCTTAGAGCTCCGAAAAGTGCGCCAGCGCATTAGATCCTCATCGTGTTGTTTTCTTCAGCAGGGATCTGAAAGGAATATGCATTAGTAAGCTTTTAAGTCCATGATCCAGCAAATTACCTGATCAGCTGGTCGCCACTTCCATTCTTGTTTTGGGCCGCTTTGCAGCTTATCTCCGGCGGATACGAAGTATTCAGTTAGTATGACTAATGCGGATAACAAAGCTAATAAGCGACCAACAACTTTCAGTCAAAACAAACAGCGTCTGGCGCGCACAATTAGAATATATCTATCATTCGTTTTTCGTATGCCCCGATAAGATTGTTAGACTTTTGGCTGCGCGTGCCTCAGGTTGAGGTAGTGCTTATCTTTAATATACTTATCTTTAATATAAGTAGTTAAGATATCACAGTATGACAAAAAAATGACCTGTCAATAGCTACGTCACACGAGAAAGTGTCAGAACCTTATCAAAGATAAGAGACTTATGAAAGTCACGAGTTATCGCCCCTGAGTACTTGAAACATTGCATTCTTAACAATCTCCCCAGCTGATTGTCGGTTGTCATAAGCTTCAATGGGCATTATCATGGCACTTCAATATATAAACAAAACAATCGAGGCTTCAAATATCAAGATTTCATTTTGAGTGCCCCCCGAGGAGAGATATAAAAACAAAAATATATATACTTTATGGGGTCGGAGATGCTGCCGGTATAAAGAGAGAAATATTTGTAGTCTATTTTACAGACTGAATTTGTTATATCCTGCGCATTTAATCTCAGAAATTGGATAAAATTAAATATTTATCAATTTTGAGACAGCAGGAAAGTAATCGATGTAAATAAAGCTGATCCCTATCTCCCATATCTAGACTTTAAATCAAACTATTTTTTCTATTTAAAAAAAAAAAAAACGGAAAATTAATTGATAACTTTATACTATATATGTATATAGATAATAAACTTAAGAAATATATATAATGAACAACGGAATTTTTGGAGTGATAACTAATATTTAATAGATTATTTTATATTTTTAAAGTAGCTGAACAATAGTAGGGTGTTAAGAAAATATTCAAAAAAAATTGATTAAATTATGTACTCTTATTCAGCTGCTGCAGGAAGTGCTCCTTGGTGGCCTCTCGATTCGTTTTGCCGTTGGGACTGCGCTTGATGTCCGTGACAATGAGGCAACCGCCATGCAATTGCAGATAATAGGCTTCCACATTATCCTTGACATACTTAATCACATCCTCGGCAGTTATTTGAGCACCGCGCTTGGGCACAACCGAGGCGGCCGGATTGTACATATTGGTATCACTGTAGACACCAAAGACACAGACCTCGGCGACGCCCGGCATGTTGGTGATGACATCCTCAATTTCGCTGGGATAGTACATGATGTTCTGGAACTTCAACATGTCCTTTTTACGGCCGGATATGAATAGGAAGCCATCGCTGTCCACATAGCCAGTGTCGCCGGTATGGAGCCAGCCCTCCTTGTCGCGCACAATTCGCGTCTCCTCGGGATTTTTGTAATATCCGTCCCAGTACTGGCACGAATGGAAGCACACCTCGCCAACTTCATTCGGATCCAGCGCCTCGCCCTGATCATTGACGATCTTCAGCTTGTTGCCCGGCAACACGCGACCCGCCGAATTGGGCTTCTCGTCGTAGTGCTTGTTCAGGCTGCCATTCGAAGAGCCGAGTTCCGTGAAGCCAAAGGCGAATTGCAATACGCCGGGATTGACACGCTTGCGGAAGCGCTCCTGCACCTCCAGAGAACAGCACATGCCGCCATATAGCAGATGCTTCAGACTGTCGATCTTGGTGGTCTCAAATTCGGGAGAATTGGCCAGCACGGCCAGGTGGGAGGGCGCGATCAGCAGCCAGGTGATCTTGTACTTCTCGATAAGGCTCAGCATGAACGAACCGTCAAACATCTCGGCATTAATGATGCGCAACGTGCTGTGCACTCCACTGGCTATGGTTGTAGTTAGGCCCGTAACCCAGTCCAAAGTACTGTGACAGTATTGTACATCCGCGGAGGTCAAATAGCTGCAAGGTGACAAATCGGAAGCGGGTGAGAATGGTTGCCAGATGAAACTAAAAATTCCCTTTCTTACTTGGTGGTCGTGAAGAACTTGTGGGTGCTCACATTGGTCACCGCCTTGGGCACGCCCGTGGTGCCCGAAGAGCACAGAATGGCCAGGGTCTGATCGTTGCCTCGCTCTAGGCGAACAGGCTTAAAGTCCTTCTCAATGGGCGTGGCCAACAAATCCTGAATGCTGATGGAACCCGGCTTGTGATTGCGCATGGTAATGAGCTTCACGTTCAACTTGGCCGTGGCAGCCTTGACCTTCTCGTACTCATCGCCATCGCAGAAGATGAGCTTGGGCTCGGTTATGTCGAAGAGCTTCTCAATGGTGCCCTGCACATAGTTAACGTTGAGCGAGTGAAAGGCGATGCCATTGAAGACACAGGCGTAGACCACGGCGGATATATGCGTCGTATTCCTGGCTATAATGCCCACAACATCCGACTGCTGCAGATCCAGGTTGCGCATGTAGCTGGCGATGCGCTGGGAATTCAAGAAGAGCTCCTCGCGGGTCAGCGTCGTATTCTCCGAAACCGAGATCTAAAACAAGAGAATATTTTGAAAAACTAGTTACATGGAGGATACAGAAACTCACCTGGGCAATCAGCTGTGGGTGACGTTTCATCTCGCCGAATGTGATCTCGCCGATGGACAGGTCGGGCGAGAAGTAGGGCGCCTCATACTTGCCAGTCCAGACCTTCAGGTCCGGCTCGTAGCTGATCTCTGGTATGAAAGGCATACTGTGTAGACAACCAATTGACTTAAGCGAATGCTGAAGAATTACAAATTTCGGCGGGTTTTATATGCGAGTTTCGGCTATCAGCTCGACCGGAGGTTACGTGAGCTTAATCAAAACTTTGTCAATAATCTGCCATGGGCATCGTCATCTACTTTTTTTTTTTAATTAACGCAAAGCTTAAAGTCCATAACGGATTCACATACAACATTTTGTCTTATCAAATCATCCCACAGGAAACAGCCAAAAGTGTTAGCCAAATCGCGCAATTGTCTAGAATGCCGATTCGATAAGGAAACGAAAAATCGGACGTTTTGGACCTTAGTCAAGAACTTGCGAGTACTTCGAGTAAAGCTACATGTTTGCACTAGAATTCGTCAATTTGGGGGTATGGAAACGGAAATGGTTTGTGATAATTTCATTTAAAATAGTACGTTTCTTATCTATTAAACTGGAATTTACAACAACAAAAAATCTGTATTCCGTTTTTGTTTTGCTATATATATATATTTGCACTTAAGACTTTAGGCATATGTGCTCTTATTTTTAGTAGGAAATATTTATAAATATTCTTGGACCTAAGTCAAGAACTAAGAAGTCATGCTCTATATCCCGCGGCCTGCCAACTACGACTTCGACAATCTATCTATTTGGGGGCATGGAAGCGGAAATGGTATTTGATCACATTATTTATAATCGGGCGTTTGTTATCAATTAACTTTGTATTTTTATATATAAATGCACCTAAAATATTAAGATTATAATTCTGGGCAGGAAATGTTCATAATTATATATTTTGGCAGATAAATGACCTCATCGAAGGCCAGGCTGTAAAAAAGGGAGGCTATGAATATGATATGCGACTTGCGGACAGCGCTGCGAACAGTAGTCATAATCATTTTGTATAAATGAATTGAACGCAGATAACTAATTGGAATTCAAATTTTAATTAAGTACAATACTTTAGATTAGATAAATTGTGCCATAGTACCAAAAGATCTACCACGACGCGCAGTAGTCTCTGACATGCCTTATGGTTAATTAGGTGCGTGTTTAGCTGCGGATGCTACAAGGAAAATATAAATAGTTTAAACAAAGAACTATGCTTTTTAAATAATCTCTGTACTTTGGAAATATATTTAAATAAATTAAGCTCGTTGCAGTGAATAATATGATAATACGAGAAAAAAAATGCGAGAGCTGTCTTCATTTAAAAAAAAAAAACAAGCTACATGCAATATTTTAATGCCAAATTGACAGTGCCGCACAAAAGTGTTGCACGCCTCTCAATGCCACAGTTTTCTGTTCTTGTTGTTGTTCTCGTTGTTGTTGTTGTTGCTGTTGTTGCTTTTGATGTATTTGTTTTGCTGCATGTCAGGCGAACGATGTGCTGCTGGCTGGGGCCAATTAATCATGCAGCTTGCCCCAATAGATTTAAATTGTCACATCGTTTATCAAGCGCCAGTTGCAAGTCGCAAAAAAAAAAAAAAAAAAACAATATTAATAAATAAATATTTAATAATTATTTTGCACACAGAAGCAGGTATTTGCCGAGCGCCTCAGATTAGATATCCTCGCTGAATAATTTATTTAATGCAGCTAAACGATATGACGAATATTAATCAAAATTAAAAGGTCAATTAAAAAAATTATCAAATTTAAGTACAAAAAAATAATTGCAAAAAAAAAATGAGTCGGGTATTTAGTTCAAGGTTGAATTTCAGAACTTTTTGCTTCGGGCTCAAAGGAAAACTGAATTCGTTTAAGGAATGCAATATGTAATTATATATAATATAATTATATAAAATATAATTAAATAAAAATCCAGTAAGTGTGATATTCCTTTTCTTTCCTTTTTTATACCCTGAACCCATTGAATATGGGTAAAAAGGGTATAATTTATTTGTGCAAATGCATGTAACAGGCAGAAGCAAGCATCTCCGACCCTATAAAGTATATATATTCTTGATCAGCATCAATAGCCGAGTCGATCTAGCCATGTCTGTCCGTCCGTCCGTCCGTATGTATGATCGCAAGGATCTCAGAACCCATAAGAGCTAGATACTTGAAATTTTAGCTGTAGGTCCTCCTAGTGCCTGCGCAGACCGAGTTTGTTTCTGATATTCGATAACTTGAGCTAGAGTCGCCAAACTTGACATGTAGCTTCAAGAATAGTATATATATATAAAGTATCTTTCATTTTATACCTATCGCCTGTTGGAAGAAGAGGGTTCAGGGTATCCCCTAGTCGTGAGCTCCCGACTAGAACCTCTTACTTGTTTTTATTAATATTCTTTCATTTACAACTGATATGCGTGAGAAATCTCAAAAACAGACAAATATATCTGTATTATTCAGACTATTGGATTTGGCATGCATTTTGACGCCCGACTAATATGTCATACAAAATCGGTAAGCAAATTGATTTTGATACGCATAAAAGCTGTTGGGTAAAAAAAACGTGCCCATACCATTAATAAATTTGTGGGCGGGGCAGCAGCAAATGGGGGATATTTAATTGCCATTAATGCGTCGATGGGAATAATAGAATAATTTATGCGGCTGGCCGAAAAGCAAACGATCCACAGAACCGAAGAAATAATGGAGGAAAACACAACGGCAAATCCGTTTGGCAAACAGAAAATGGCAACTAAAACCATGCCAAAGTGCCTAAGCTGGAAAATCGAGAAAATGTATGCTAGAGAAATTAAAAGATAAAATATCAATTAGTGGATCTCAGCTGCAGTTCCAGTTTTAGTATCTGTTTGTGCTAATTGAAAAACAAACGAGAAAGTGCTGCACAATTTATGCGCAAAGACACGTTGCCAGCTTAAGGGAGCGGGCCATAAACAATTTTTAATCTAGTTGCAAGTGGCATAAAAATAATCTCGTCTATTCGCATATTTAAATTATGAAATATTCAAATGCATTGCGAAGTGTGTACGCTGGCCAAACAAGGCAATGCAATCAGCAACAAGAAGTGTTAAGCAAGCATTGTGTTTGACACTATCTCAGCTAACACCATTCTATTCTTAGCCCAGCACACACACATACATGCATACATTCTCTGTGTCAGTCAACGGAAACGGAAGTGTGGCACAAAAGCGAGCTGCATTTTAGCCTTTGCTTTTGATATGCAACTCAATGCTGCTGCTGCTCAGTGCACATTTCCCTCAACACATACTTTTGAGTAGTAAACACACACACACACACACACACATGCATACTTAGTATCTGTGTACTTCCGTGCATATATATTTCTAAACAATTTTTCATTTCTTATGCGCTCATCTAGCACGCACTGCAAATATTTCAATGTATTTGCATGATGATGCAGGAATTGAAATTCAAATGTGCTGCGATTAGGCCAGCGAGACTTTTGAATGCTCTACGGAATTCAGAATAAAAACTTAAATAAATTGTAATCAATTTTTTTAAGTAAATTCAGAACTTTATCTCTTAGTCTAGGCATAAAATATGGCTGCAATGTTGAAGAGCAGCGCATTAAATGGGTTTATATGCCCGGCCAATTGACCTCAATACCCTGCCGCGATGAAAAGAATCCAACACGAATGCAGTCAGGCAGCTGGCGAAGTGAGTTATGCAATGGCAACGTGTCAGCAGCAATCGCCATTCGACAAATACACAAACTGGAATCCACTTATGCGAATACTTAAGGTGGCTGCATCAAGGCAAAAGAAGAAGAAGAACAAGAACAACAACAATAGTCAAGCACTCGTTCATGGCACACACGACGTATGCGCAATTAATACACAGTCCGTTATAAATGTGTGTGTGGGGCACAAATAAAAACAAGTTGCCAATTTGCTGGAGGTCCATCATTTTAAGTGGACATATGGCCATATGATTACGACTTAAGCTGAGAGAGGCAGCATGGAGGGGAGACTGAGGCGAGGGGGGGCGGGCAACTGTTATTGCAGTGAAACGCGAAATATGCGCAATAAAAATGTTTAAAATAAACGATGCTCAACTTTACCAAAAGCGCACACAGAGAAAAGCAATACACATACGTTGAGACGCATTTCATGGAGCTGCTGCCGGCTTTCAAAGGATGATAAATGAGTGTAAGAGTTAAATGCCAGCGCACAAGCCGAAGACGTGGCCCAAACGAGCGCCATTAAAGCTATTTTATGGTCAACAAAAGCAGTTGAAATAAAATATAAAAAAAAAACAAAATGACTGCAACATGCTTAATTGAGCCGGGCAAACGAGCATTGAGCAGCCATTGGCCGAGCTGCGGCCATTTTCCAAGTAATTGACATTTTAAATACGCAACAACGGCTCACATGGCGTATGATTGATGTGCATATGCTCGCCAGCATGTTGGCAGCGGCTAAGCAGCTTACAGCTTACAGCTTACGGCGCACAGTTTACAGCTGGCAGCATGCATAAGTAGCTGAAATTAAATTTTGGTAAGCGCAACAAGCACTCTGGCCCCATGTCGCATGTATTGCGCCCCCTTTCCCTTTTGCTGACGCATGTTTATGAAAAATTACTTAAGCTGCAGAAACATGAAAATGAATTTTTCAACAGCGCTCAGTCTGCGTCTGACCTGCTGTCTTAAGCTGTCTTAAGCAGACAGCAAAACAAAACAAAACACATAGACACGCACACGCACACAGAGAGAAAGAGAGAGAGAGAGACAAGTCTGTATGCGGCACGTGGCGGGAAGCTGCAGGAATCGCAGCCGCAACAGAAGCTAATAAATAATTGTCTGGTTAGCAAAGACAAAGCAATGCCTATGCGGAGCTGGAGCTGGAGCTGGAGGCAGGAGCCGGAGCCGAGGGGAGTTGATGGGTTGAAAAATTCGCCTTAGCAATGGCAACAATAAATAAGCACATATAAATCATGCATGCTTTGGGTCTGTGCGCCTTTGGAGCTGTCTTGCGTATGCCGCATATATAAATACGCAGCAACAGTCCCTATTAAAAGTTAACGTCTGTGGCCTAGCACATAATTCACAGCTGAAACATGCGTAGGGG